GGGGGGGGGGGGTTGCTAGAGTCTCCTACATTGGTTGAAGGAATGAATTTGTAGTTTCTTTATTTGGTCCTAGACACCCTCACATCTTGAGTTAGCTTTTGGGGTTAAGTTAGATTCAAGGTTCATTTTTCTTAACAAAGGGTGGTTGGTCTATCTTATATTGCTCTGTTCGTAGTCTCCTATTCCCCATCCCCACTTTCTTGCCCCTTTTCCCAGATACAGTTTGATGGCCATTTACAATTGTTTTTTTCCCATGTCTCCAGTGTGCTCTCCTTTACACCACCATCTATGGCCAAAGAAGAATCAGGGTTTCTACTTTATCTCTGCCTTGCACCACTGTGTTGGGTAATCTGTTTCTATCAGCTGACTTGGATACCCAATTTACTTGCATCTTGAAGCAAGGTAATGATACTATGTCACAAAGCACACGTTTTTCTTAAGTACAATTTCCTCTTTTCTTCTAAATCTATCTTTTCCCTTTTGTGAAAGAAGGCTGGTTGTGCATCTACCTATACATTAAAGGCCTTTGTGCATGTTCATGCGGTCCTCCACCTTTTCCGTACTTAGTGCAAGAAATTTTTTCACACCAGGGTTCTCCCAAAATTAATGTCTTTATCTACTGCCAAAAGGTAGGTTAACCTGTGTTTGCTATGCACGTCCGCAAATTTTTAAAGATTATCCATTGAAACCTTTCCCAGTCAACTGAATCATATGTTTGGCCTTAGGTGCAAATTTGGTATCATGATTTCTACTATGGTGCTTTCTTTGTTGATTCTTGTTCCCTGTTTTGAATGGTTATGGCTGTTACCTCTTTTTTGAAAAGGTAGGGGTAGGGTGGGGCTGGGGGTGCTTTTGGGAAATCCATGCTGAACAAAATACTCAGAGACTAAAGGAAACAAAGAAAAAAGAGATATGTTGATATTGTTTGGATAAGCAGAAACCTGATGTTTTCCGTGTTTTCATTCTGTGACTTTGGCTTCTTGCTTCTTTTGTTTGATATTTGCTTGTGTTCTTCTTTGATTGGTAATATGATAAACAAGATTGACAAATCTGCACTTAATTTAGAATTGTAGATCAGTAATTTAATTCGGTGGAGCATCCTATGACAATCTGGTGGCGTGTTAGAATAATTGTTTTCTTAAGGAAAGTAGTGACTATATTAGATATTCATGGAGAACGCCAGTTATTTATGAGCATCACATGTGCCTCCCCCTACCCTCACTTTTCTGTATTAAAGTTAACCTACTCACTATAGCCTAATGCTTTAATTGCATGAAATTCTTCTTTACTCTCTGCTTCTTTTTCGTTTAAATCTAATCATGCAGATGCTTTTTTTCTCCCATGCAGTGGCCAGTGAAGTTGCAACAGCTCCTCTTCCACAAATCCGAGAGCATGTGACAAACCATTGCATCAACATTCTACACTCTTATCGTAAATTTTGTGCCACTGTCTCTTCCTCATCACATCTTGTTCTTCCCGAGGCACTTAAAATTCTTCCTCTTTACACACTAGGTATGTCTTGCATTGCTTTTTAGCCAGGCCTTTCATTTTCCAATGATTTGATGGAGTCGGTTTATCCATATAGTCAATTATCAATTAACACTCTTCTGAAGTTTGCTGTTTTTATTGTCTATTAGTATAAGCAAAAGCTGATATTCCACATGATCCTCCTTTTCTATTCCACCTTAGTTTTCATTTACTGCTATTCAAATCGGAGGAGCGATTAGTTCTCTTTGTTATTTCTCTTAGTATATTAAAAACAAAGGAGATATTCAAAGTTGTGCAAACTATCGTATTAAACTTATGAGTCATATGACGGAACTCTAGGAAATAGTGATAGAGCGTACTAAGTATACTACAAGAGTGGCTGAGAATCAGTTTGATTTTATGCTCGGTAGATGTACAAAGGAAACTATCTTCTTGTCGCTAAGAAGATTGATGGAAATTTATTGTGAGAGGAAGAAAGATCTACACAGAGTGTTCATTGACCTGGCGAAAAAGCATATGATAGAGTACCAAGAAAGATTGTATAATGGGTGTTGGAGAATAAGGGAATTCATATTAAATATAAATGTTATAAAAGACATGTATGTAGGAGCTATCACTACCGTGAGAACAGTAGTAGGAGATACACATGATTTTTCCATAACCGCGGGTTTACAACAGGGATCGTAATTGAGCCCATACTTGTTTAGCTTAGTTATGGATGAGCTAACCAACATAGTACAAGGTGAAATTTTATGGTGTGTCATTTGGTGACGATATTGTGTTAATTGATGACCAACGAGGGTGTCAACCAAAAGTTTGAATTATGGAGAAGCACGCTATAGAGTAAGGGGTCGTTTGGTTCATGGGATAAGGGATAACAATCTCAGAATAAAATGTGGGACTATTTAATCCCGTGTTTGATTGAATTTTTGTTTTCAGTAAGCAATCACAGGATTTGTTATAACTCAATTTTGTATTATTTTTATACCACATTCAATGGAGGATAATAACTCGGGATAGCCAATCCCAAGATAAACAACCAAATAACAAAAGTTCCCTTCTCAAAAGCTCTTCTTCCAAATTTCTTTAGTCAAGGGTAAAATTGGAAATGAAATTATATCCAAGTTTTTTTGTTATAAAACCAAACACATATTTTATATTATGCTCGGCATATCCCATTCTTAATCTAATGAACCAAATATCTTCCAAAAAAGTGTATCCACTAAATAATCTCGTTATAACTTCATTCTTCATATGCCGAGTGAACTTGCGTTATATATATTCAATCTTACTTCTTGCGTTATATATATTCAATCTTACTTCTACTTATTTGGAATATATGCAATCAAGTTCACTCGGCATATGAAGAATGAAGTTAAAGTTAGATTATGTGGATTTTTGTGCCTAAATGCAAACAATTCAGATATATTTAGGCTCATTCCGGGAGAATTGAATGATAGGTCAAAAAACAACACATGGAATCAAGTTCGGATGTTTGAAATGAATAAGTGCTACCGGAGTATTATGTGGTAGGAGGATTCTTTTCAAATGAAAGGTAAGTTCTATAGGATAGTTACAAGACTAAAAATTTTATGTGGGAATCAATGATGGGCCGTTAAAATCCACGTAGATGTGCAGATGCTAAGATAAATATTCGATCATACAAATGCAAGATTAGAAATGAGCACATTTACTAGAAGGTGCAAGTAGCACATATTGAGGATAAAATGAAAGTAGGTCACTTGAGGTGCAAGTAGCACGTATTGTAGTTATAGCTAATGTTAATGGTGGCAACTGACAAAGGTAATGATTACTTTTAGTTGGACACAGTGAAGAGTTATCTTGTTTTATCAATATGCACATTTAGCTTGTACATACTTTTTTATGTTTTGTTACATCTTGAGCTGTTGAGCATGGTTACCTTTACTGCTGCAAAGACATTCTCGAAAGAAGTATGATAATATTAAATGAATCTACTCACACAAATCCTCCTGATATTCAGCTCTGGTTAAAAGCACTGGATTGCGAACTGATGGACTGATTGATAATAGGTCCTTCTGGATTAATTATGTTTCCCCACTGTCTGTTCCATTGGCTATCTCTTGGGTACACCCTAGATTGATAGCCATTCATAAATACAATATAGAGGTATGGATTATTCTTGTATTTATGGACCGTATGTATTTCCTTTGCTTTTTTGCTTTTCCACAAGTTTTCACTGTTGATTCATTCTTGATTCATTCAAGATTTATTTTCCGTTTTCATTTCTAACATCTCGCTTTGTTCTCTGGACTTGCAGGAGGGCGAGGAATCTATTATTCCTCCTCCTATTCCACTTTCCAAGGAACAGATTAGTGACAACGGTATCTATCTTCTGGAGAATGGCGAGGACTGTTTAATTTATGTTGGAAACTCTGCAGATCCTGGTGTTATGCGTCAACTTCTGGGCATTTTATCTGTTGAAGAAGTTCCTGCACAGGTAATTTGACATACCTTCCCTGTTAAGATGTAACATTATCGTAAATTAATGTTGAGGTAAACTATGTATTATCATTTTAATATAGGAGCCTGCGAAAGGTACATTAAATATGTATTTTCTTAGTTAATGCCAGTCAAACTATATGTACTATACTACTATATATGTTTGGCATGTTCCGTTGGTTATGGAAATTGAAGGATGAAGTCATGCAGCCGAAACCTCTCCCAATTTGAGTGTTTGATTTTGTGCAATTCCATGCCATAACATTTTGCATCTAGAAAGGAAGGCTGGTCTAGTTGGTTTCTCCTCCATAGGTCCGAGATGGATAGCAGCTGAGTGTCTGTACTTGTTCTCGTAACTTATTTTCCTCATAATGCATTAAGCTCGTTGTTGTTGTATGGATCAAAAACAGCAAACTTTTCTCCCTTGGTGGACCAAAGTGATTACCTAAATGTAATAAAAGCGATTATCTGTCTATCAAATCTGACACATTGCCTCTGTTTTTTCTGTAGTTTGTTCTGCAGCAGTATGACAATCCACTCTCTAAGAAGCTCAATGATATCATTAATGATATTAGAAGCCAAAGGCGTAACTACCTCCGGTATGATGTTTCGTTTTCTGCGTGCATGCACTTTTTTCACTTCTGTTATTTTAGGAGATGGTTTGTTATTTAAATTTTGATTACTTGTAAATCAGAGCGGGCATTCACGTGATTAGTCTATGTTATCACTTCGTTTGCCATATTTCTGATGTGTTTTTTATTTGATCTTGCCAGCTTAAAAATATGCAGAAAAGGAGATTCATCAGGTTTGTAATACATTAACCCATATTTATCCTCTCTCACAGCGCCTCCAGTTAAAATGAGGTTTAGGATAGGTCTGAAAGAAGGGGAATTCGGTGGAATGACCATATCATGTGGATGATCTACATAGATTTTCGTCCCTTTTCAAGTCAATTTTGCACCGTCTTACCCTTGGATGCACAGATACATCATATGAGATCATACAATGATGAATTAGCCTCCAGATATTCTCTAACCTAGATTTTATTTTATGTTACTTAGCCATCAGGGTTAAAAAGGCACTGCTTAAACTGCATTTCCGTAAACTCATTTTTACCAACAAACTTTTACATATGTCAGATTGGTACGGAATGCAGGAAGCTCAAAGTATTGTGTTTGATATATTTTGTTGATTGTGTTATTCATCTTTGGTCATCTCCAATTGTTTTCTTATGTTTGGAAAATCTCTATTCAGGTATGTTGTTTTTCTCCAACATGGTAGAAGACAAGACATCACTTGGGCTTGCATATGTAGACTTTCTGGTACATATCCATGGGCAAATTAAAAGCAAAATGGCATGAGAAAACATCCTTTTTTGTTCATAAATTTTGACTATAGAGAATGGGGTACAGAAGAGTTCAAGTTGATGAAGAAGCAGATAATTGGTTTTACCTGCATTACAGAAATGGTCACATTCGTGATATTTTGTAGGATAGCAGCATAGTTTAGAAGTCAGAGGGTTTCACTAAAACATTGTAGAGCACATTTGAAAAAGAATGACAAAAAGCAGGGTTTCACGTTTTCATTTTTCAGCCTGTGCATACCTTGATTATTGCACCGGTACTTATTACTTCCTACCACAGATAGTGATTCTACTTAGTATACTTGACGTGCTATGTAATGTCAAAGTGCATAACAAGTTTTGTTGATTGAAGTATTAGGAATTACTTCTAGAGCAAATTTTGTCTGTTTGTTGTTCAAATGACTAAATGAAGAGGTGTATCAAAAACTAATGATGATACTGAGAATAACGTTGGTAGAGATTCAGAAAATATAGCATCATGCGCACTGCATTCTTGCAATAATGATATATCAATTTTGATACTTATGCATGCAAAAATAATAATTTAAAAACAAACTTTAGAAGTTTATGCTACTAGTTGATGTTTTAAAAAAAAATAAAAAATAATTTGCATCTCGCAACAAACCATGTGAAAATATAGCATCATGCGCACTGCATTCTTGCAATAATGATATATCAATTTTGATACTTATGCATGCAAAAATAATAATTTAAAAACAAACTTTAGAAGTTTATGCTACTAGTTGATGTTTTAAAAAAAAATAAAAAATAATTTGCATCTCGCAACAAACCATGTGAAATAACCATGAGAGTCACAAGTGAAAGAGATGATACATATGAATTAATCATGATTAGATGAAAAAAAAATGGACAGTCCAATGCATTAAGCTCTTGCTATGCGCGGTGTCGGGGGAAGGGCCGGTCCACAAGGGTCTATTGTACGCAGTCTTATCCTGCATTTCTCAAAAGGCTGTTTCCATGGCTTGAACCCATAACTTGATCTTATGGCAGCAACTTTACCAGTTACACCAAGGCTCCCCTTCTAATCATGATTAGATGATAAAGTTGTGTAAAAGACACCTGTTATTAAGAGTCACAAATGAAATGATAACACATACCATAAATTAGCCACAATTAAATGATAAAAAAATTGTGTCACAAGACACCTTTTTTTATATTTTTTAATCTGATGCAAAAACACATTTCCCAAATCACCTGCTGCCCTAAGTAAAACGAAAAAACAAAAAGGGGAAAAATATAAAAGTAAGGACATATGGATCCTACATAGTCAATAGCCGTTACACCGCCAACAATTTTGTATATTTTCCCTTTTCCCAACGGTCTTATTCCCACCAGCCTCAGATTTCAAATATGACCGTTAAAACCTCCTCGTACTCTCAAAAACCCACCCTATATATACAAAATACTTCTCTGTATTCTCCTCACTTCACTTCTCTGCATCAAATATCAAAACCCCACTAGCCAAAATCTCCCAAGGAATCATCAAAAATCCAATTTTTCAGAAAAAAACCAAGAAAAGGAAATGGGATTCAACAATTACTCAGATTCAACTGATTCCCATCACCGAACTCACAAAATCTTTCTCCTTGTTAACTACATTCTTCTTGGTGCAGCTTCTAGCTGCATTTTCTTGACTCTTTCGCTCCGATTAATCCCATCCCTTTGCGGGTTCTTCTTCATCCTTCTCCATATTCTCACTATTGGTGGCGCTGTCTTTGGCTGCGCCACCGTATCAGCTACCTCAGGTGCTGGAAAATCATATGGAGCTCACATGGTATCCACTGTTCTAACTGCAATATTTCAAGGTTCTGTTTTCGTGTTGATTTTCACGAAAACGGGGGATTTTCTTGGGAATTTGAAGTCTTATGTGAGAGAAGAAGATGCTGTGATGATTTTGAGATTGGCTGGTGGATTATGTGCACTCATCTTTTGCCTTGAATGGGTAGTTCTGACTCTTGCATTTTTCTTGAAATACTATGCTTATGTTGAAGGCAGTGGAAATGTTGCAATGAAGAGTAGCTCTAGGGTTCAAGATGAGGAAAACATCAAGCATTGGCAGCCTTTTCAAGTCTAAGTAAAAAATGGTTATTTTTGCAAATGTCAACTACTAGTAGTATATGTTTAATTTCTTTCTTCTTATTAGTTAATTCATTCATTTATTTGATTTGTTGTTGTAACTTGATAGGACCTTCGTTTGTATTGTCATGGAAGGTTCATATAAAGATATGTACTAATGAGGAAATTGAAGTTATGGAACATTTGGTACTAGTTTTATAAGCTGATATTTTTAATTATTAATATGATGTGTTACCTATTGAGAAGGGAATACTACAAGATTATTTGGAAAGAAAGTAAAAAAAGTTCTTTTTATAGCGAACACCTTTATGCTCAAAAGACATAACAAATCTACTGAGCATGTTGAGTAATATGGTACAAAGAAAATGAATTAGTAAAGAAAATGAACACCTAATGTGTTAATTCATACTTCTAAGACAAAAAAGGAAAGAAAAAAAGGTTTATTGGAATTTTATTGAACGTTATAGCAGACACAAGGAGAGTGAGAGTAATAGAGACAAAACCAAAATGGGTCCGGATCTCCTGCGGGAATGATTTGGAAGATCCGAAACCGAAAATAGTGGTATTTGCTAGCAACAACATAATGGTGGCAGTCATTCAATATAGATTGATCCGAAATCTGATTCAAATTCAATATAAGAAATGTATTGAATCGATTCTTTTTAATGAATAGATCCAATCGCACCTTCGAATATGGAATTCAAAAGGATCAAATAGGAAAGGATACTCTAAATCATAGAACTATAATGAAATATACGATCAACCAATATTTATCGAATTTGAAAAAGAGTCAGAAGAAATGGTTCGAGCCTCTTATTTTGATTTCTTGAACCGAGAGATCCATGAACCGAGAGATGCATAAATGGTCCAATAGGAGCAAGAATTTTCCAGGAACATTTGGAACAGTCCGTTTCGGAGCAGAAGAGCCGTTTTCAAGTAGTGTTCGATCGATTACGTATTAATCAATATTCAATTGATTGGCTTGAGGTAATCGACAAAAAAGATTTGTCTAAGCCACTTCGTTGTCTTTCTATCTTACCTTGAAGAGGTCCGACTTTCTGGTAGCGACCTTAATGGCTCGAGCATGTGCCTTCACGAAAGCATCTACAAGCATAGCAAATGAATCAATAGAGTTAGGTGGTAAGTTATGGTACCATATCATAGCACCCTTCGACAGAGTCTCCCCGAATTTCTTAAGCAACACGGATTCGATCTCATTATCTTCCAAGTCATTTCCCTTGATGGTGCATGTATATGAGGTGACGTGTTCATTTGGATCCGTTCTGCCGTTATACTTCGAAATCTCGGGCATACAAAAATTCTTTGGGATTGGCTTCGGATCTGCACTTGGGGGGAAAGGCTTTTGGACAAACTTTTTGGAATCAAGTCCTTTCAATACTGGTGGTGCCCCCAGGATTTGATCGACCCTAGAGTTATAAGTCTTCACTTTCTTATCATTTTCTTCGATCTTCTTTTCCCTTGTCTCGATTCGCTTCGTATGTAAGTTCCTCGAGCATTTTACGATAGTAGGATTGATCTCCGATTCTCCTCCATTCGATCTCTTCGCCACCGATTCGGCTCTATGAACAATTTCTTGTGATGGATCAACCTCGATCCTGCTCGGTGTGCGGTTCTGATTTTGGAGTTGCGCTATCGTGCCTTGCTAGGCCTGCAATATTTCGAATATCATTCGAAGGCTAATCCCGCCTTCTTCACCGCCTTGTGCTTTCTAATAGGCTGTTCGAGCATCCCTACGGACTCTATTTTCAGGATCGACGCTCAAATTTCCATTAATGCCAATGTGAGAACTGACGTCGATTGGATCCATGGTCGGAGCTCCATCGGGGTTGACTGGAGGTACCCCGTTCCCTGGGGCGGCAATGTTATCGTTCTCGCCGTGGACCAAGGCCATTATTTGTGTGTGTGGGTGTTACTTGAGAGATTGATATATTGATCCTGGAATCAAAGAAACTTCAAAGAACAAGCATAACATTATGTGTGTTACGAAAATTGCGCCAGGCAATCACTATTATCCTTAGCTCCACGGTAGGCGCCAAACTATTTACCCTTAAAATAGAATAACAATTAAACTTATAAGTGGTTTTAAGGATATGTAATTTCACTTGACACAAAATGATAAATATAAGAACCAATTATAGAAATTACAGTAGAATAAAGCAAACCAATATGATGAACAGTTATGACCCTCGAGCTAACTGCCCTCGAACCAACTGAACAAGTTAATGAAAGTATGAACTGAACAACAAAGCCTGCAAGGAATAAAATGTGATATATTTCTTTGGTATGCATGAGTGTGAAGTAGTTTACAAAATGATTAGAACACTCTTTATATAGTAGAGGAATCCTATCTATGGTACAATTCTAATTACAGATATAAATCCCGTGATTAGCTAAACAACCGCCCTTGATTTGATTTGTTCCGAGATTTTCGCCATAATCTCCAACCAGTCACGGGTATCTCGCCTTTTCGTTATTATGCTATCTTCGGTCTTGTTCAATGACTGTCCCGTTCGACTTCGATCATTACTGTTTCGATCTTGCTAGGTACCTCGAATCCCGAACTCTGTGTAAATATCCAGAAGCACCAAAATTCCCAGCAGCCTACGCTACCCTGGGCGCTAGGTGCTGGGAAAGTGTCCTACCTCACCCGAAACAAGGTTATATCGACCCAAGACGCCCCAATTCGTATAAAAACAAGTTTAAACTTGTGATGACCCAAAAGGTCATCTCGTATTTTAGAACCCAATTCGGGGTTCCAAGGCCTTCAAAACCTCATCTTACTTCTCTTTGATTTGCGTGTGCAGTCCGAGCGCATTTCCGGAAAGCCTTTATGTGAAAATTTGAGAAAATAATAAGTTTTGCCTTTAAAAGTGATTTTAGTTGACTTCGGTCAATATTTTGAGTGAACGGACCCAGACCCATGTTTTGATGGTCCCAGAGGGTCCGTAGTAAAATATGGGACTTGGGCATATGCCCGAAATCGAATTCCGAGGTCCCTAGCCCGAGTAACAAAATTTTTGTTAAAAAAATTATTAAATTGAAAATCTAAGGATTTAAAGAAATTGAATAATATTTGATCTTGTTGGTATCGGGCCCATATTTTTGTTTCGGAGCCCGTTACATTGTTAATATAATATTTACATCATGTATGTGAAATTTGGTGAGAAACAGGACTGATTTGACGTGATTCAGACGTCCGGTTGTGAAAATAGGAATTTTAAGTGTTCTTAAGTATTTCATGTGTTTTGGTGTTAAATCTGTAGTTTTAGATGTTATTTTGGCGATTTGATCGCACGAGCAAGTTCACATGATATTGTAATACTTGTGTGCATGTTTGGTTTGGAGCCCCGAGGGCTCGGGTGAGTTTCGGATATGCTACAGAATGATTTGGAACTTAGAAATTATTACTAGTATAGCTGAACTTTTTGCAGGCCTCAAACCTCGCATATGCAAGGTCAAGGTTCGCATTTGCGACTATGGATGAGGTCGCATTTGCAAGCTTCTCATCGCAAATGCGAAGAGAAGCTGGGCCAGCCCATGTTCGCATGCGAATAGCCCTTCGCATTTGCGAAGTGAGTCTGGGGGAGGGACCTTCGCATTTGCGACCAAATGGTTCGCATTTGCGACTATGGATGAGGTCGCATTTGCAAGCTTCTCATCGCAAATGCGAAGAGAAGCTGGGCCAGCCCATGTTCGCATGCGAATAGCCCTTCGCATTTGCGAAGTGAGTCTGGGGGAGGGACCTTCGCATTTGCGACCAAATGGTTCGCATTTGCGATAGCAGCAGAAATGCGACAGGTTCGCATTTGCGATGCCTTTCTCGCATTTGCGAGCATCGCAGCTACGACATCTGTAGCTGATAAGTTTTGGACTTAGACGGGATTTTGATTCATTTCCCAAATTTTCAAAACCTAAACTTCAAGAGGCGATCTTCCAAGGGGCTAATTCTTCCCCAAATCATAGGTAAATGATTTCTAACTCATTTCTTTCAATATATTACATTTTTTACAAGATTTCATCCTAGAATTTAGGGTTTTTTCATGGTGGAATTGAGTGTTTTTAGGTAGAACTTAGGAATTTCAAAATTTGGGGATTTAGACCTCAAATTAGGGTCAGATTCCAAAACCAATTGTATATTCGGGCTCGGGGTGAATGGGTAATCAGGTTTTGGCCCGAACTTTGAGTTTTGACCAAGGAGATCGGGGGTCAATTTTTGACTTTTTGGGAAAAATATTAGGAAACCTATAATTATGTATGGGAATTGATTTCTTTAGCAATAATTGATGTTATTAATTTAACTATGACTAGATACGAGTGGTTCGGAGGTGGAATCTAGAAGAAAAGCGGTGATTGAGGCTTGATTTTGGCCGTAGAATCGAGGTAAGTGTTGTGGTTAACCTTAGCTTGAGATATTAGGTATTGTTGCCTTATCTACTATGTGTTTGGTTGTTGAGTACGACGTATAGGTGAGGTGACGAGTACCTATACGTTGACGTCGAGTCGTAGCATGCGAGTGAGTCTTATACTTGTGACTATTGTATTCTTTATTCGTACTGTTCATGCTTAAACTGGTTATTCTTCATGTCAAACAAATCTTATCATGTTTCCTGGAATTATATATTGGTTGAGTATTGACTCAAGTTGAGATTTATATTGTAAAATTAAATATTGAAACGAGGTTGGTTATTGACAATACCCTTTCCAGTTTGATATTAATCTGTTGTTTGGGTAAGGAAGAGTGTAAAGCACGAAGGGTGATGCCGTGCTATGTTTTGTGAGAGAGTGATAATGCACGAAGGGTGATGTCGTGCCATATTATATGAGTGATAATGCACGAAAGGTGATGTCGTACCATACTATGAGAGAGTTAAAGCACAAAGGGTGATGTCGTGCCATGTTATGAGAGAGTTAATGCACGAAGGGTGATGCAGTGCAGTTTCTACTGTTTCTTATGGTGAGAATGATAGTAAAAGCACAAAGGGTTATGCCGTGCACTTGTTTTCTATGTTGTTACTTTCGTTGGTGTAAAGCATGATATTTACTATGTTTCTTTAATGTACTATTTTCAGGATTTGATATCCCCCACAACATACCGTTATTATCTCCTAAATTTCCATTATTGTTATTTTCTCGTTTATGATTTAACTACACGGATTCATGTTATTATCGTGTCCTAGCCT